TGATGAGCAAAAATGTAAACAAAACATCTGATCAGCTGTTATAGGCCACAAAACTTTCACATCCTAACTTCCGAAAAATCCTATTTTGAGGCCAAAGCGCTACACAGTTTTGAGGAATTTTTTGCGAATTTCCCATATAGGGAATAAGCTATTACCGTAGTACTCATGGTAAGACCTAGACCCGGGACCGATTTATTTTTTCGTTTTGAGGTCCCTAGAGGCCAAAAACACCATCCGTTCAAATTCATATATATATATATATATATATATATATATATGTGTCCGTTAGCACAATAACTCGAGCAAAAATGATCCGATTTTGATGAAATTTGGTACAAACGTGTAAACCTACATTTATTCGAACGAGTTCGCGAACCAGCATGATCGGACTATGGGAACGGGGGTTTATGGGGGGTTTTATGGGGTAAAAATAGGGTTTTCCCATTTTTGACCCTAAAAACACAAAATTTTACAATTTATTTCCAAACCATTTTGTAGAGCTTAAAAAAACAAATAATTTAGTATATTGAAGCGTTTTTGTGCGCCTAATGGTTACGGAGAAAATTCCAAAAAATTGTAAATTTAAAATCCCCATGTTATTCTTATGGAGAATAAGTCAACTGTTGTAGTTTACTTGTTTATGAACATATTTTGATCGAATTTGGAAAATACATTCATTTCTTACTAAACTATTAACATTTAAAAAAACCACCTTTTTACCCTCCCTGTTGCAGCAAACCTAAGTACTCGTTAAACTAATTCTATTTAAATAGGGAATAAATATGATATTTTTAAGAAGGCATTTTAATGTGAAATCCTATCAGGCTAATGGAAATTCGCTTAGTCTGCAGGTTTGCTGTGGCGGGGGTATTTTGTGTTTAAGATCATTTAAATAAATATTTATTTTATATATATCTAGGCCTATGTATAATGTATCAGTTTTCTATCGAGTTATTAGGCGATATAATGTAGGCTATGATTTATTGTTCTGAATGCCATTCATGTATTTTGTAGCAGCCTATATCTGTGAATAAAACTATTTTTGAATTTAATTGAATATTTAAGCGAATTAATGCATAAATATTACACCTTTTAATGCAAAACACAAACTTAAACGCGTCATTAAACTGTAAAATTACGGATGAAATTCACACTTTGTCTTGTTATCGGACAAAAACTCACAACGACGCTGCCATTTTGGGTTAGACGATGACAAGTGTTCTGTTCTTTCAGCTTTGAAAAATCCAAAGCTTCTATTTGTGTAATCAGTCTGACGACATTGAATTCTACTTTTCTTTGTCTATAAGAGCATTACATAAAGGACTTTCCTCGTTTCGTTATGAATCAAACGATACCAGATGAGTCATACTTTCACACGCGAAATCCCCTCCAAGTACACTTGTAATATAAGACATGACACAATCTATCTGACAATTGTCAGTCAAGGATTACAAAATCTAGTATCAAGTAAACTTATTAAAGTACCGACGGTAGGTAAGTACAATGTTTTTGTAATTTTTAAAATATATATTAGGCTAAGTAGGTTAAGCTATAATATTTAAGTTATTGTAGTAAATTAAGTACAACTGAGCACCCTGAATATTATATTTTTAATAGAAGTTACATGTTTCGGACATAAGTCCATTTTTAAACTTCAAATAACATTAAATCGACAGTCATTGTCGTTCACCATACGACCAGAGCAGGCCCAATCAAGGCAACGAATGTTTTACAGACTTCAGTGTCAAAATGGATGTTGAAGAAGTAGCTGCTGTGGTGCATTGCATATGTATCGTAGGTACGTTAAGCGGAAGAAGAAACGATACTGGGTACTTCCAATGTTAACTGTCAGGTCTACAAAAGGGCAGTTTGCAACATTATACATGATCTCTCCGTCCGTAATCCTTTGCCTTAAGGAACTGGACAGGTCAGGGTTAATACAAAGAATAAACAAACTTAATACTAATTTTTGTCACCGCCAAGGTAACTGTCTATGTCCTGTAAACTTAGGTAACTCCACTAGATATTTTTTTTATTCTGATTTGAATTTTGTTAAGCTCTGAATTTCAAGTAATTTTTTCGGTAGGGCCTGGTACAATTTAATTCCCATGTAATCTGGTTTGTGTTCAAATTTTGTGAGTTTAAAATGTTGGACTGCATGTGAGCCCTTTGTTCGTGTGTTGTAGGCTAAGTGTATTTGCTGTGTGATTTGTAAAAGTTGGTTTAATTTTCTGTGATTTTATATAGCAAGCTGATTCATAGATATAAAGTGAAGGGACTGTGAGAAAGCCAAGTTCTTTAAACACATTTTTGCAGCTGGTCCGAGGCGGCATGCCCAAGATTGCTCTTACTGCCATGTTCTGCCAAACAAAGATCTGATCAATATTCTTCTTCACAGCTCCCCATAGGATGATTGAATACAAAATGTGTTGTTCTATTAGGCCAAAATACAAAAGTTTAGAGAGAGCCAGGTTTCCGCAGGTCCTTATTCTTCGAAGTACAAAGACCCCTCGAGTCATTGACCCCTCCAGTTTTTTTATTTGTGCATCCCAGCTCAATTTATCTTCCAATCTCACTCACAAAAAGTCGGCAGTTTTTGAAATTTGAATTTGATCCTCTCCAATTAATAGGTTCGGAGTCGTATTAATTTTAAATTTTGTCTTTTTGCAGTTTGGATACACATGTAACCTGTTTTTTGTGAATTTAATTTGAGTTTGTTTGAGAAAAAAGTCAGCCAGATCATTTGCTCTTTGATTAGATTCTGCCTCCAGGGCTGCGTCGTCAGTCCCCCTTACGAACAACGTTGTATCATCCGCAAAGAGGTAGACGCTGTCCTGCGGAACAGTATCTGTTATGTCGTTGATGTAGACCAAGAAAAGGAGAGGTCCAAGGACAGATCCCTGGGGGACGCAATTGGAGATCAGTTTTTTTGTTGATGAAATTCTTTCAGTTTTTGAATTTGTGTTTTTTTTTAATCTCAGTGACCTGGAATCGGTTGCTCATATAGAATGTGAGCCACTTCAGCGCAAGTCCTGAAATTCCAATTGATGCCAATTTGTCCAATAGAATCACAGGTTCGACACAATCAAAGGCTTTGGAGAGATCAGCAAAACAACCAACTACTGTTTCTCCAGCCTCCATTGCGTCTATAGGCCTACTGCTGTTGATGAAATCAATGAGCGCCAATTTTTATGATTTGTTGCGTCTAAAGTCATTTTATGAAGATCACATCAATATTAAGACAGGTTTTTCAATTACCGGTACACAAGAATGTCTGTTAAAAGCTTTGATGACTTACATAGAAAAGTTGCTTGTGAAATCAGGGGACAAGACACTTAATTGATGTACAGTGTATAGGAAGTGAAGAAAAACAGTGGGTACGGTACACTGTTAATACACTCCTATACAGTACCTACTGGTCAGGTCGGGGGCAAGTCCGGGGTAGTGCGCGTCATCCCATTAAATAGTGTGCTATTTTTCGCTGCAACAGCCAGCGTAAATATTGTTTAGACTACAGCTGTTGGCAGTGTTGGGAAGTAGCGCGCTACAAGTAGTACTTTTAAATAATGGTTTTACAGTGTTATTGGTCTTAATTGTTGATATAAGACATCTATAAATGGATCTATATTAAAGAAATAAAATGAGCTTTTAAAATAGGCTATAGTTTTGTTGTAAGTCCTTTGAACTTAATGAAATTTACATATAAGATGCTTAATAATGGCATACCTATTTAAAAATAAGTACTAAATATGATGGGACTCCCAACTATTTGGTTCTGTTGTTGTAGTTTTAGGTTTATAATGCCAACAAATTAAATAGAATCTAGGAATAATTTGTTTTCCAAGTAATGTTAGATACAATACTGACATTTTTTGTTTAAAAATGTTTGTTCAATAAAAATGTAGGCTAGTTGAAATTAATTTTACATTTACCTAATGTGCGTGGAATAAAAAGTAACATCTTTGGAAAAGTAGATAAAATTGTAGCTGTAGCTACATTTCATTGTAGCTGTAGTTGTAGCTAGCTACTTTTTCGGAACTGTAGCTGTAGCTAAGCTACTTTTTTTTAATGTAGCAGTAGTTGTAGCTAGCTACATTTTAAAAGTAGCTTCCCAACACTGGCTGTTGGAATGTAAGTTTATTAGTTTACTTCCTCCTTGTTACAGTGGTAGCATATCACTTGTCTTTGCTAGAAAATAAAATTACGTAGGTCTATGCATGTTTTTTTAAATACCGTACCTAACTCATCTTTTATGATTTCACAACAAAACATAGCGGTCGCGAGTTTGCATGTTATTTTCATTGAAATGTACCGGTAATTCATAATTAGATCGATAACTTTTATAGGTTAGCCTACTAATGTTAAAAGGTTCATACTCATAACTTAATAAAATGAAACTTCAGAATCTCTTAAACCTGTTTCCATGGTATAAGAGTTTATGGGGGGAAATGTTACAAATCAACAAATCTTGTCGGCTGCCACTTCAGCAACACAATTTGAGGTCAAAATCTTTTGTAGATTCGCAACCTGTAGGGTTAAACTAAGTTTAGGCAAGGCATTATCTTTGCTTATCAGAGGTTATTAGCAAAATTTAAAGTCAAACTTCTTTTATTAGGCTTTAACCAAGTTACTAAGTTTTACTAGCAAGACCCCAAACTTTTAAGTAGGTAGCCCTAGGCTATAAGCTAATGGCATTTCTCATTTATATTCCTAGCCTATTTACCTATTTATTTACATGCTATGATTAACTTATATTAATTGTAAATAAATCCATTATTATAACAAAATCAGAGCCTAAAACTGATCAATACTGTGAATTTATGTGCATCAAGTTCTAAGCCTCTATTTATAAGGTGAAATGTATGGAGAAAAAAAGAGAATGTACAAGATATGAGCTCATTAATCAAGCATTGCACCGTCGGCAAGGGGCTGTACGAAAGAAATGGAGATTCCTTACTTGGGTGTGAAAATATAAAATTCAAAATTATATTGAAACTTACCCCTAGATAAGGGCTGCATGCTGAAAGAACCACTTTATGTGCTTTAAGATATCGACCATCAGCAGCCAATGTGCAATCGACTAAAGTTCCACTTTCTAATAAATTGTCAAATACAGAAACCAAAGTGCTCTGGTGATTATTCCACCTCAAACAAAAATGTTCAGTAGCCATTACAGTTAACTCAATCGTACACAATACCTAGACAAAGATTAAGAACTCGTCACACTTTTGTAATCCCGAATGAAAGTTTCACAAATTTCACAATAAAAATAACACTGACACCTAAAATTTCACTAAACAACTGCCGACCTAAACCGATTTAGCTGCCATATTGTACTACAGCGATGACGCGAAGGGGTTGTATGACTTGTAAAGGCTTTGGATTGTACTAGCCAATTTACATTATTGTATAGGTGTTATATAGCACAGGTTTTCTTTAGACTAATGAATGATGAAGTTTAATCATTGCTCTAAATGGCACAAAAGTAAACTTTTCGTCCTATTGTGAAATATAAAGTATTTTTTATTTGTGTTTCATATTATTGACATTGAAGTCCCTCAGTCAAAAAATTATAAGTTTTACAGTAGGCCCTGCTTTACTTTGTCTTTATTCCTGTGTATTTTAATACCATATAACTTTACCATAATTGGACAAGACAAGAAATCCAATGTTAGATGTCCGCACTCCATCACAGTCATGGATGAGTGAAATACGGGACCCCTAACGTATTATTTGCTCTGGTTAGTTATAAGCTACGTACGTATTGGAACATTATTGTTGAAAGTTCATCTACTACATCTACACCACTTATGTTCTTTACTAAGGTATGTCACTTTTCTGGTACGCGTAAACTATTTTGAACGATGTTGTCAACAAATTCCTTACAATTATGGTGACTTAAATGCCAAACCATTTAATATAAAGCTTAAAACAACCGGTCACTGTAATTTCTTAGTCAAATTTACTTTTAATACTTGTTGCCTTTCAAACACAGTTGAGGTATCAAGGTATGAGTGATACCTTAATACCATAAATATAGACAAAACATAAGTCCCTTTGGGTAGTCCTAAGGGACTATGTTTTATCTATGCTTGATACCATTGACTTTATATCTCCACGTGTAGATATAAAGTCAATGCTGATACCATCTTTACCTCTGGATTCTAGATTATAAAGATGCTCTATCATTGTGTCATTACTCATTGTGTGTTTAAAGCAGGGGCGTCATAAATAATATTAATACACCACGAAACTATTGATCACGTTTCTTAGATGACTATCAAGAGTTGGATACCAAAGGTTTGCCTCTTTAATCCAGTGGCGTCATTCCCCCAAACCCTTGGGGGGGCAAACAAAGGGTGGAGGGGTTTAGAACCAAAAAATTTTGCAGTTTTGAAACAACCCCTCTTGTTTAAGCTTATTTTAATTGTCGAAAGCACTTTGAATAAAACAAAATTATGAGTACAATTTATTTCAATTTAGGCAGAAAACTAATGGCCTGGCGCACACGGTCGATTTTTCAATCCTTTGTTTCCCGTCTGTGGGTTTATACATTAAAGAAGCCGAAACAAGTCTCATCTAAATTTCTGTCTGTAACACTCAAGATGGCATTTTACGCAATCTTCTCCAGGAAAAGGAAAGTAGGTAGGCCCTACCTATCAAGATCCAAGTCATTTTAAATGTAGTCAGATGATGTTGTGATACTGTACTAGGTACAGCGAAACGGCACACGGAAGATCTCTCAGGTGCCGTTTGACGTCACTAACTGCTGACGTCACTTTGAGGGAACACCAATACTGTACCGCAACGATACGGAATGGACCATCGGCTTCGGTGGTGCAGTGGATAGCGTTGCGGGCTGAAAATCCGAATATTCCGGGTTCGAATCCCGCCGGCGGCACTAACTTTTTATCAACATTTTTTTATATCAGCAAGTTTGGTTGGTTTGGTTAGGTTATGACAGTTTAATTTTATAATTAAAAAATTATAAAATTGAATTTTAGGCAATTATAATTTTATTTTATGAACAAAACTATTTTTTAGACTAGTAAACCTTTATTCGATTTTTCCATTATCAGCACGTTTGGTTAGGTTATGACAGTTTAATTTAATAATAGAAAATTATAAAATTGTCTGTTTCTTCAGACGCAGCAGTTAGTGACGTCAAACGGCACCTGAGAAATCTTCCGTGTGCTCCACCGCTAGATACAGTGGGGAACACCTGCTTAACACATTAGCTACCAACCATACTCATCCCTCAGTTACAGAGTATTGTGACGGTCGGTAGGAAACGTGTTAACATATAATAATTTGTATTATGATTATAATCCAATAAAAAAAAAAAAAAAAAAAAACAATATTCTATATTAAGTTATTTAAGCAAATTTTTAATAGTTATGATTAATTAATTACTATAACAGTACTAATCTAATGGTAATTAAATAATCTATATTCAAATACTAGTATTCTCTTCAACTAAGAGAAAAACAATTCAACTACTTGAGGCCTAAACAGATTAACAGAATCATATTAAAGTAGTATAAAAAAAATTTTAAGTATTGTGGCCATTGCAACTGTCAGCTACTCTTTGGCCATTTGCAAACGCCCATAATCAACAAGCACACATAGCGCAGAGGTAAGGTGTATGAGGCTCACAAGGCAAAGGTACTAAGTTCGAGACCCATTTGGGCAAAATAATTTTGTCTCTTTTTTTTTCAAAATAAGTTTTTATGAACTATTTAATCAATTTACTCAACTGATAATCATGCTTTTCATACTAAATCTTTATTATTTTGTGTTTAGGCCCAATGGGATGGTTAGCACTTCCCCAAAAATTGGTTGGTTGGCCAACCGTAAGACTTGGTGCCCAAAACATATGATAGACAGAAACGTTGGGCCAACGATTTTTGCTACTTGGGCTATCCTCAAAGGAATAAACTGGAAGTTCTAATAAGAGCTTCCAAATACATAGCAGCACCTTCCAAGGCCCAATTCACCTTCCGTGTTGGATTGTAATACCTCTATAACAAGTTTACGATGTTTATTAACACGTTCATCCATTGTGACTCAGTTGGCTAAGTGTTGGACTGATGAGCTAGTGCTGAGCTCTCTTAATTTTTCTTTTTTAAGCAAATTTCCCATTTAGGGAATAAGCTATTACCGTAGGTCTCGTGGTAAGACGTAGACCCAGTACTCTACTTTTTTGTTTTGATGTCCCCAGTGGCCAAAAACACCATTCCCAATATTGTTAATGAATGCATTTTATTTGAATTTGGCAAATTTATCTCATACCAAGCTCATAACAATTTAACAAAAACACAACGTTACCTTCTTTTTGGCAGCAAACCTAAGTACTCAATAAAAACAATTTAATTTAATTGAAACCTAATGATATTTAAATAGGGAATAAATCTCACCTTTGTAAAGAAATACCATTTGAGTGAAAACCCCTATCAGGTAAATAGGAATTCTGTAGGTTTGCTGCAGCAGGGGTATTATTTGTATCTCTATTTTATGTTTATCCACCCCATTACTATTTTTTATTAGTTTTTGTAAGGGAATGGTCCTAACCCATTTGTTCATACAAGGGGGGAAGGGTTTGATTTCAGTGCCTGTGCTTTTAGCTCTGGAATGTTGGGGCGGAAATATACTAGTACTGAGCAAGGAAGAACCCGAACAGCCATTGTTTACAACCACAGTTGTAGCCCGCAGGCTCTTCTTACAGCGTGAGCGCTGTAGTAGGTGATTTGATTCCTCGGTATCTTACTTCTCTGTGGTTCAACTAAATCCTTACAACTGCAACACAAACGTCAAATAAGTAAACAGGTATAAAAACACGGTTATCTGCACACAAGTATTTAATTACAAATTAAATCATCTGACAGTAAATAATTACAAATATATCACATAAAGGAGATTATTGTGGCGAGACTAAACAAGAACGATTCATAGAGTGCTAACAAAATAAAAATCACATTAAACTTACACCTACCTAGTCTATGGGGTAAATGCATGGGCCACCATTCAATGGTTAGTTGGAAAATTTGAGCAAGCTTTATGTACATCAGTTGTTACCGAGTGCTTGAAAATTTTTTTTACATTTTGATTTTTACATTTGGCTTTAAGGGAGGGGAGGATAATTTAATTTACTTGGCATTTAAATAATTAAGGGTAAATTTGTAAAATGCAAGACATTAGTGTAAATTTGTGAACCATGAAGAAAAGTGAAATTAGTTAATCACATGGATCAAAAGTGCTTTTTCATCCTTGCTCATAATGATTGAGCTTGTGCCAACGAGCTTTTATTCTTTTACTACGGATCAAATTCAAATAAACATGCTCTTGAAAAAAATCAACTTCGTCACACTAAAAAAGGCTATAGTTTTAGAGCCTGGAAAAATCTATATTTCAGCCTTCAAAGCTGAAAATCAACTTTTGTGTTTAAAGTTTGAAAATTCACTTAACTCTTAACACAATACATAACAATACAATAGGAATCACCTTCAATTATCAATTATATAAGATGGGGGCGCCACTATGTGCGTATTTTAATCCAAATATGAGTGAATGAAAGATTGGTGACAAAACCAAATGTTTGTAGAAATAATCTCAACCTGAACAAAATTAAATGCCTTGCACATAACAATTGGTTCACAAAACTCTTTATATTGAAAAATGTACCTACCTACTTTTAAAATAACTATACTTTAATGCTGGTTACAAGGTATTATTAAAATATCCTCACCTCCCTTAATGTTTTAGCTACTTTGTATTTTGTGAGTAACCCTTTTTCTATGTTATTTGGTAGCAGAAACTGTTTAGAGAGAAAAATTAAAGAAGGCACAATTTCTCTGACAGAAGCACAGTTTTTCAATTATAAAAATAACTGTAAAAATAATTGGCACGGTAAGTTTTCAAAATCATAAAAACTAACTAAACTTGCAATTCTTTAAAAAATACCTAAAAGGGATTACAAAAGTTTAAAACTTAAGTACAAAGTTAAATGACTAATTTTCACTATTATCAGTTAAGGAACCTATTCGCAAGGTTTATTTTCTACTAAGCCTATCATACAATGTATACATAACTAAAACATAAAATAAATAGTACATGCATATAATTAAACTAAATAAGTGAATTCTTGTGGATGATGAAGAATGGTAAGTTCACGTGAGAATTGTCTTTGAGCAATTGGTTTCAACTGGACATTCTAAAGAAAGATTTTAATGATCGACCACATTATGGTAACCCTAAGATTTATTTAAGAATATTTTTTTGAGGGCTCGTTAAATGTTGATAGAAAAAGACAATAGACATGTAACCAGTTTAAAAATAAAAAGTAACCTAATTAAATTGATCCTTCGACAGAGTGTGTCTTATCTGATGTACAACTTTTTTCCACCAATAGATAAATGTAAGCTATAAAGAAAACCATTCATATCCATTGGAGCAAGACAATACTGCGATTGAAACAGAAAATATGTTAGATAACTTATTTGATAAAAAACAATCAGAGAACAAAAACACATTAAAAGTTACAGATACAGTATTTACTGTCAAAAAAGCCTTTTACAAATACGTGTTTTGACAACAAATATATTGAACACATTATTTTTTTTTTATCAATTACAGATAATCTATTGAATTGAAAAGAGACTTGCGCAGTGGACACTGTAGAAAGTTTTTAAATGCGGTTGGCTACATCGGAATATTGTGATTTCCACTGTATGTTGTAAATAAGCAAATTGTTCTAGGTTGATTCATTGATTAATTAATATTTTCAAATATTCAGTTACTGGCTCAATAAAACCAGTTCTAACAGTAGAACAAATTTCAATATTTTAGAACTAAACATATTGTAACAAATCTAGGTGTTACTAATGTTTTTTGTTCCATAAAAAGTCTAGAACATCATAACCAACAAGTTGATTTGATTCTGATTTGTAATAACTGATTCAACTTTATATGAATGAAATGGATATCTTCATGATTTTATGACAGTGTGATTAAATTAAATATTATGAACTTGATAGGAAACTTACAAGCGATTCTTTTGGTAAATTATACAAAAATATATATTTCTTCTAAGCATTAACACGGGCATAATGAGTATCCTTATATTTTAAAAACTAATCCTTAATACTGGGTTGGAAATAAAAATATATGCAAATAATTTGTGTAAAGAGGCAGTTTTTGAGTTTTAACTAAATTCAAACAAATATGTTGGCTTAAAATTATTCACTTCCATAAATACATAACATAATTACAAAAACATTACAGAAGATATAGGTTACACTTGTTATCTACTTGTTTAGATACAAGCCATTAACATTTCTGCTAACTACAATATACAGTCAGTCAAGTAGTTCGCTTTGACGACAAAGTAGAAAAAGCTTAAGCTTTCGATAAATATGAATAATGTACAAAACCTAATCTTAAGTTACATTTGGTTAAATTGGAAAAGTCAGTGGACCAGTAACATTAGCAACACGAAACCTTGAAATTATTAACTGGACTTTTAACACATTATGTTTATATGCTATTTCTCCCATTCTGATTGGTATAGTTCCATTTAGTTAGGAGTATTGTTGAAACTCTACATAGTTTTTAATAACTTCATCAATCAATACCTTCATAAATAAATACCTTTGTTCCTTGATTCTAAAAGAGATACAAACATCGTACATCAAGTATTATTAAAAAACCTTGTGTTGCTAGTGTTAACATTTTAAGACACATTGAAACGATAGAATATTCTTTACAGGGTATAGTCAAATCAAGGTATTCACCCGATACAAGTATAGATTGTGGCAATTAGACTCGTACAGGAACCCTTTCCTCACCACCATCCATGTTATCTTGTACACTCATCTCAACAATTGATTACCATTGGATTAACAACACCACTAGCTAGTGGTGTAACTCTTGGTATTGTTGAGAGCCTATCTCTTATCCCTTCCACACGCCAAATTGACACAATCTATACTTTCCAAAATGCCAGTAAATGACTTATTGTCATTGGTGACATACCAAATACGTCTCCAAGCGCAAAGGTTTGCAAAGTCAGTAAGAGTAGGAAAAAGTACTCGTACACTGAAGAGTCCGTAGTACATTATCTGAGATCAATCTTTCGTAGCACCAAATGTGCTTTAGCACCTCGTTAGCTTATCACAACTTCCGACACGACATTCTACCCTAACCAGTTCATACAAGAAAGACCAAGTCGCAATCAAAGCCGTATCAATCGAGCACTTCCTTGTACGGAAGTTCCGATGTGATTGTGAAGTCTTCGAAGTAGTGGTTGAGGAACTCGAATGTTGGCCGTTTGTCGGGATCTGCGTCCCAACATTGCAGCATTAGCCGGTAGATCGGGTCTGGAAGGAAGTGTGAGGTCGGTTTAGGCATTCTATAACCTCGCTCCACCTGTTCTATAACATCTCTTCCGTGCATCCCTGTGAACAAAACAGTGTATGAAAATACTGGTACAAACCACCTGCAAAAATCTGTAAGGCTTGTGGGTGATACTTTATAATTTTTGCCTCCAGGGTTGATACAATGACGTGTATCTATATCTTAATACGCAAGCAGTTTTCTTTTCACAGTCATAACTCGATAACGACTTGACGGATTTTAACGTTTGAGGTGTTAAATTAAAGGTATTTTCACGTAGATGCCCAAATATGTCTCAGAATATCATGATAGGGCATCACTTAAGTACAGTTAAGGGCTAAAGTTTGGGAACGGCGGTGCTATCTGTTGACATTAGATCAAACTCAATTCCTTTGTTTACAACTAAACATATGGACATATGGTAGCTTAAAATAGTTTCTAAGTTTAACCACAGACTGCAGGACTTATTACTTCCAGAGCAAAGCCGGAGTTTTATATTTTTATTTAAACATCTGTAAACTTACTGGTTCATAAATAAAGAGTTTCCTTTCAAGACCTCTGACAACAAATTGTTTGTAAATGTTAAATTGATTTACCTTACATCGTATTTTACTGAATTATCATGTGGTTTAGGGTTACAGTTTGGTGTGATTAAGTCAATGTTTGAAAGTGATTATTCACAGTGCAGTTACCCGTTACATTACCAATTATCATGTAATTTACAATGTGTATCAAAATTCCTTTGTTGTGTTTTCTCTTGATTGATTAACTTTCGCGTTTTATATAAATTTAAAATTAAATTTAAATTAACTGAAACTGTGAATTGAACTGTTTAACTGAACTGAGACTGAGCTATGAACTGTGAAACTGTGCAAAGAACTGTGAGTGGCTGGAGGGAACGCAAACGTGACCACTTGCATCAACCTCCCAATTTGACGGATACAGAGTGGCAGTACCACCGTGGTGATACATCCAACCTCGGACAAATTAACGTTAAATGTTTACATTGATACATTTTAAGCAAGAAAAGATTGCCCGAGACAGTTCAATTTTTACTCTTTGTTGCCACAAATGAAAGGTTCGGTTACCTCATTTGCGGAATTCACCATACTTTCAGGAACTTATTGGAAACTCCCAATCTGAAAACAGGGATGTGAGGCTTCTTGGATCCAGAAATTATCTGGATAAAATTTGTCAATTCAATTCCGCCTTTGCCATGGTCAGTTCTGAAGATCAATTTGATGAGAGGGTCGTACAGGGGGTCTACAATTTCAAGATCCATGACATGTTTTACCACCGAGTAGATAATCTTATTCCTCAAGAAGGTCATGATTCTGAATACGCACAGATCTATAAGTACGACGTTGGCACTAGAACCCAACAGCACATGTAAAACAATTCAAACAAAAAATGCAATGAACAAATATGCGGGAAGTAGGGTCACAATGCCAACCCATTTGCCCAATCTTTTAAAGCTGTGGCAGAAATTTGTAGGGACGAGAGCTCCGATATGAGGAGTCAAGTTAGATTGTTATGTGCATAGTAAGAGACAAAAGAAGTGACTTCCCTCGATACAATGATGCTACCTGTATAGATTTTGCAGCTATTTTAAAGCCGAAAACAGAGCACCAACTGGCCAAATAAATCTTTGTTTTCTTTTATTTTTACAAACTAATTAATAGTGTTAAACGTGAACCGTAATAGATACGTCGTTAAATCCACTCTTATGTTCCCAACCGAAGACTTTTTGTTGGGGCACCTAATTTAAACACGCCTAAAACTTAACATATCGTAAAAATTATTTAACAATGCTATAGTACGTGTCGTACTGGTTGGCGTTAAGAGAGGGATTTAGCTTGCTACATTAGGTCTGAAACGCTCACTTTACAGTGTGTGGTTGACATCTACGTTCTCATAGAGGGCACCCGCCTACAGTACATAACAGATAACCAAAGCAGTATGAGAACGCATCTATATTTAAATATTGTACCGTAGATTACTTTTTCAATTTTTTTAACATACAGTAATATTTTTCACATTTCTATAATCAGTCATAGAAATTACTTTAGAGTGACTCTATGATTGAGGTTTTGCTGTTTATGTTTTTTGTTCTTCATTATTTTATTTCAAGATGCAGTTTTGCTCGATTTCGAGCAACAGGTTATCTAGTAACATAAATTATATAACTTTTGTTGTTCTCAATCCACTATCTATTATCAGATGAGTATCAGAACATTATTACCATTTTTAAATGTCAATTATCGAAAAAAAGGATCATAACATTTGGTACATTCGGTTCTGTGATCTGAACTAAATTATTTGGTTTAGATGTCCAAATTTTTCATGTTCTTTAATGTGCTTACATTTTTTTGGTCACCTGTTATTTTGAACAATGGGAGGTCAATAGTCAATTGAATGACAATTGGAGCAATGACTCAGAAAATGGGAGTTGCAAGGTTTCGGTGAGCAAAATCATATTGTGGGTATTTTATAAGAAATTCTTAGCCTAAGAGTTTCAGCAAACATACCTGGGTACGGGACTTGACCATAGGTGAAGAGCTCCATGAGTAAGATTCCGAACGACCAGACGTCCGATTTGATGGAGAAGCGGCCATAAACAATCGCTTCTGGAGCCGTCCACTTGACTGGGAAACGAGAACCTGGAATCATTCAATAGTTTCATTGGTTGGAGAAAAGGTTAGCATGACCTTGAAATATTGAACATCAGGGTTTGTACCCTTCCATTGTACAGAATTTAAAAATATAAATAGTGTAGAAAAACACCAAACACAAATAAAACAACTATACCTTGTCTTGGACAGTATTCATCGTCCTCTATGACTCTGGCCAAGCCAAAGTCGCAAATCTTGGCGATGTTGTTGTCCCCGATGAGTACATTGCGGGCGGCCAAGTCTCGATGTATCAGCTGTTTTAGCTCCAGGTATGCCATTCCACTAGCCACCTGTGACACCCCATAATACCATAACACAATCGATATTTATTCACAAATAAAACAAAATTATAGTAAAATATGTTTTTGGAAACCTTAATGGAAATCATAAAAATGAGAGATGGTTATTATTTTCAACCACACAGTTTCTTTCAACCCAAGAATGAGTATTAAAATCTCATGTCTTGCTCATAAAATTTACTTGTGATCATCTTCACCACCATAATACAAGAAGCTGTAGAAACCTAAATCCCAGAGTGTTGCTTAAGTAAAGAAGACTTTTCTCTGGGAGAATATTTTAATGACCGAATCCTGACTCATGACACCCATGTCTTTACCAGCTGCATCTTATTTTAACTTTTTATTTAATTTAGTTAGTTGTATATAAATCTGTACATGAGTGCATGATAAGTATGAAAGTAATGTGATTACATCCGTCCAGATAGTCAGGTAAAGAATTGCATTTTATTGGTTTCTCTGTAAATTAAGATCTACAAGCATCTAAAAGGACACATAAAACATGTCTACACGTCCACAGGAGGTATTCAAGATTTGATACGGTCACAGAAAACAGTGTCAATGTTTTTGTGACTACAGGAGACGATGATGATGTTCACACGACCATGAGAAAAGTTTTAAATTATGTCGCTTTTTTTGTTCTTTAAGAAAAAATCTTAAAAATATTTGTGTTTTGAAGTTCATTAAATTCTTTTGGTAAGAAATTTGGATAATCGTCAATTTGGATAATTGGAGTTCAGATAAATGGAGTTCTACTGTAATCTCAAATGAAAAGCAATTTGTAGGCCTAGTTTACTACAATAATTTTTACGTCACACTACACTATTTTGACGAACTTCCCACGCAAGGATTTAGTCCAGAAAACAGCTGTTTGCCGCTAGCGTAATCAAATGGGGTTTCATTGCGTACTACTGTACTGTAATGAGTTTTACCGGACACCAATCAGCTGATTATACTGTATTTGGGTTTCCATTAGTGGTTATAAACAAAAACATAACCTCTCTTAGAGGTTATAACTAGTGATTTTTAGTCCTTTAGTTAGTGGTAATATATAAAGATTTGTACACACTTAGTAGTATGGCGTAAACTATCGTACGTAACTCGTCCAAAATGTGTTTACCGGACTCGTATGGTAATCCCGTACTTGACTTCGTCTCGCACGGGAACGACCACACACGTCCGGCAAACACTTATTTTCAGGACTAGTAACATAATATACTATTGCACTACCAATAAAGGAGGAAGAATATAAATGCCTGCTATGAAAAAAGGCTACTATTATTATGTATATTTAAAGGACTTGAAACCATTCTTTACCTGAGCAGCGATGTATATGAGGTCGGCGAACTGCAGCTGCTTGTCAATGTTCCGGAGCAACTCCAGCAGACTTCCCTTGTTCATATACTCCTGTACGATGTAAACAGGTTCCTCTTTAGAACACACGGCGTACAGCGCCACCAGCCGGTCGTGACGGAACTTCTTCATGATGGCTGCCTCCTGCAGGAACGCCTGAGTCGACATCGTACCTTGGCGCAACGTCTTGACTGCCACCTCGATATTGTTGCGCCACTTGCCTGTACGATAGGGAGGTTAGTTTTATGAATTACACTTAAGATTTAAGCTAACTGACTTTAAAATAATTAGAAGAAAATAGTGTTGGAATAGATTGTCTATATCCTGTGCTTATAGTGATAAATAAGTAATATAATTACATTGAAACAGGGAAAGTAAGAACAGCAGGGGATTAAAAAAAAATTACCTATCAAAATATTTGAATTGAATAATTTTGGTAATAAACAATTTGAAAATTGAAAGATCAATTGAAAATTGAAACATTTTCATCTATTTATCTATACTTATTTAATACGCAAGCACGATTTTTGTGACAATTACTCCTCCGAAACTACTGAACCGATTGACATGTTTTTGGTGTCATTGGAAAGAGGGTAACGTGAAGTTGTGCAGGAAACTTTCTTTTTAGGGAAATAATGAGAGATTGAGGCCCTGGAGCCCTTTAAAGTTTCATATTTCTCCATAAGGATAACATGGGAGATAATTTTTATTTACAGAAACATATGTTTGTTACTTGAAAATAGTCAAAGTCTACTACATAATAATTGCTGTGTATTATGACTCTTAATGTATACCTACTACATTTCAATCAAGGATTGTGTACCTTAAAGTTTACCCATAATGGATCTTACTACTTTATTTTAATGCTGGGAATAGTAAGATTTAGTGGAGAATAAGTTAGGTACCATGATTTAAAAACTTTACTATAATAATTTATGTATTTAAATCACAAATCTTTGACATTATTAATTCATTTGAAACTAAACAGCTGATCGACAAATCAAACATATCATCTACTTCATGTGAATAATGTTATTACACAAACATAGTTTTTTTTTAACCAATATCTTGATTCTTTTTTACTTGTGGGTGTATTTTGAGTTTGCAGTTATGAAAGCACCAAGCCAAGTAACTTTTTTCAAATTTTCTTTATAAACTAACAGTATTAATGAATTGCTACATGAACTTGACAAGTCAGGAAATTAATTGTCAGTTTACCAAGGGGAAGAAGAGTGGGTCCTTGAAACAGACGAAGGCGCAGACACCCAGTGGATTGCCAAGACACAGATTAGACTAATAAAAGGGGGCAGTGGTTTTATTGATGAGGAATATTAATACATCAAAAAGGGCCTTATTAATGGCACAAGGCTTTGTGATCAGAATGGTTAACAACTTAATAGAATGTAAAGTCTTAACTGGAACAAGTGAGTGGGGACATATTTTGATTTCGAGGATAAAAATTTACCCGTCTGAAACAAACTTACCTTTTAAAATGGAAAGATGCTAATTTCTGTTACCTTTGGCATTTGCAGTGCTGTTCTCACCCAGACCAATTTTAGTCATGAGCAACTATATTATATGTTGTTTTAAGTAGGCTACATCTATTAATAGGATAAGCATATTCGTTAAGGAAAACTCTGACCAAGGTAATCTTCCTGAAGGTAACTTTAAGGCTAAAATCGTAGTATTCATGGAAGTGCTTTGTGATAAAATATTGTAAAATATTGTGATAAAAATATTTTTTTTAGTGTTTGTTTTCTTCAAGCAGCATTTTTATGACCCTCAAAATATGCTCCATAGGCCTATTGGTTTGATATGATAAAATGTTTTTTTTTAAATGTGTTATAAAATCTTTAAAACATAACTACCCTATAACCTTGCTCGCTGCCTATAACATACTTGAACTTGAACACTTATTAATTTACTAAATATAATACACATACAGCTAGAAAATGGCTGGACAGCTTCCCTTCCAAGGCTTCATTATTATTGTATTTAATTTTCGACGTCGAGTCAATATATGATACGATGAATTTGTTTTCTAAATGCATATGTTATTTTGAGGCGCATTGAGCCGCACAGGTTCACTAGTACTTATTTAATACGCAAGCAGTTTTTTTGTGACAATTACTCCTCCAAACTACTGAACCGATTGTCATGTTTTTGGTGTCATTGGAAAGAGAGTAACGTGAAGTTGTGCAGGAAACTTTCTTTTTAGGGAAATACTGAGAGAGTGAGGCCCTGAAGCCCTTTAAAGTTTTGAATTTCTCCATAAGATTAACATTGGAAACAAAAATTGTTATGAAACTCCAGCTGTTGTCAGAAATCAATAGTGAGAAGAAGAGCATGTTAATATAAACAGGTAATAAGTTTGCTAATTTAACAGTACAGTACATGCTGACTTGGTTGAAATTCGTTTTAAAATAACGACTGTAATATTGCCAGCAATTGCTCGAATTCGAGCAACAGGGACACTAGTTTTATTTAATACACATTTTACTTGTACTCATAGAGCTTGTAAATGTGTTAATGTCTAAATTATCATGTCTAATGACCAAAAGACACTTACCGTACCAAACCTCGCCAAAGTTGCCATGGCCGAGTTTCCGTATTAGTTGCACCTCGCTACGGTCAATCTCCCATTGGTCCCTCATGTCGGGTGATAAGTCCCATATCTGTGGCTGAGGTTTGGGACAAGGACGAGCCAGTACGTGACACAGACCTAACGCATTCTCTGTAACATGGAGTATATCAGGTATTGGTATCATACATGTAGTCCTAGTAAGCAGGGTTTCGGTTTGAGCAATTTTACTTGTATCTTGATTTGCTATATAGCTTTAAACTGCTGCATGTAAACTACATGTTTCAGCTCAAATTATCATAACAAGTTCATATGTTCAGGTTGTTAATTTTAATAGTTTCGGTAATTACATATTTGGATCGTAGAGTAACAGTAAATTTTGATTAGTGTAATTTGTTCATATATATCTAGTGTAGGAATTTCCATATTGAAAATTTTGGTTTTGTCTCATACATGAAACTTGAAAGTGTATCGGAAAATGCCACTTTTAGTACCAGTAATGAAATACTATGCTTAATAATATTTAAGTTCAATTGAAATAGAAAATTGGATTTAAATAAGTTAAGAGATTTATTATTTGAATATTAAATTGACATTTTTAGTCTATGACAGCAGTAATTTCAGAAATTGTCTTTTGAAGAAATTAAGAAAATCAAATGAGGTTAGTCCTACTTTAATTTTGATTCAGTTCCGAGTTCATTCATCATTTATTTTTGACATACTTGGAATACATCAAATTAGTTATAGGCCAATGAAAAATTTGGCTCAATAAAAGCTGGAGCCTTAAGTTTTTTTTTTCTTTTAAAAGCTTGACTCAAACTCGCCATGTACACACCTCTGATAAATAAGGATTATTTTATTTGTACTCACTTGTGTAAGCCAGCACTAACGCAGGCAAGGTAGGGAAGGTCTGATTAGTAGCTATGTAGTAACCTCCGTTGTCTAAAGGTTTAATCTTGTAGTGTTTCACGTGATATCCTCTCGATTCCTCCCAGTCTTTAACACTCAATGAGTATCTGGCAAAAAAATCAGCGTTACTATACGTACTATTGCCATTACTAATTCCTTGAGTGTAGCCACAGCCACCTCTAATACAAGGCCGCGGCGAGCGAAAAGTGGCAACGTTGCATCAGTGTCTTGGTGTGCGGTCGTCTTACCATTACAGTGAATGGAGGAGTCGCGTACCGACGTACATAATCGTGTTTCTAATACCCTTAATCATTAGTAATGACATTGAACTTGTTACTACAGCATGCCAGATAGATGTGATGTGCCTGGATGCAAGAATAATTACTAAGGCTCAATTAAAAATGAATAATACATACAGTGTTCTAAGATTCTATGTGACCCACCGCGTGAGCAACAATAGCGTCCTGCTATTCTGCGGTCAAATTATACATCTTAAAACAATTCTTGTTTTTGTGTGAAACATTTTCATGAATATGAACTTAGATTTTTTTTTATTTAAGAATAAGAAATAATTTGTGTAAATATAGACGTGAGAAGTGAGTTTTAGGTGGTAATGCCGTACTATTTACTTATTTATTTGTCTATCTTATTGATAAAAGCTGTTGTTAAGTGATTAAAATAACTCAAATAACCAGCACTTCAAAGAAATAAACTGGTGTTTCTGTTAACTAGGCCTACTAGTAAAAAAAAGATGTACTACACCATCTAGGCTTACAATAAAAACATCATAGTCTCCGACTCCAGTCTGAATGTTGATGTGATTAACAATGATTCTATTAATATTGTGGAAAGCCATGTGGAGGCCTAGCTTATGAAATGGTATACAAAATGGCAAACGTTTTGCTTAGTAATTATTCAAAGAAAATAAATTATTTCGTCAGTAGGCTATGCCTTCAAAATGAAAACTTCAAATTTTGTTGTCGCTAACTTATGGTTTCCTCAGGTAGACTAAAACATAATATTCCTATTGAAAATTTTAAATCAATTTTATCTGAACAAATTGTTAGATGTTAGTTTCTACAAATCCCAAAGTCTCTACAAATATTAAAGTGGCAATAAGTTAGTCCTACTGTATTACCATTCCTGGTATAGTAGCTATATTTTGTAAAATTTAAGCCCAGTCTGCCTAGTAGTTTTTACTATGTTGAATAACACACACACACCATATATACAGACACCATGAGATTGTTACCGTATATAATAGTATAGATTATCGAATTAACAAAGGAAATATGTAAAGTCCATCTATTTTCAAATTCATCGTACTTACAATACGATAAATGCAACCAGTGTATATTTTTAGTTTTAGACATATTGTGGTATGTTTAAATTTTCCACTAAATAAACAACCTAGATTCAAATTTGTCTATTTTACCATACCCTAAAATCCACTAATATATGTAATTTAAACACTTTCATTCATGATACAGAGCAGCAATACTCTCATTGATGTTTATAGCCTAGCACGAGTGCCGGACCCAGGCGGCGGGTGAATGCGGCGTTGCCAGTTCGAACGTCGCGGCCTTGTATTGGAGGTGGCTGTGGTGTAGCCCATCTCTGGATAATCGTGTTGATTACATTTTCGCATATATTTACACTATTTACATTGAAGTTAATTTCAAAAAATAAAAAATGTCTGTTGCCAAAGCCGCAAGGAGCATAAGTTGGTCAAGAATTTTTTAGACTATTCTTCAACAGAGTACAGACTATTTTTCTTTATCCAAATTGCCAACTCTTATTTTAAACTAATAGGAAGGATATTGACTTGTTTGTTCTTTAAAAATGTTTTAAATTGCTGCTTTTAGTGCACATTAAATTATAAATTGACTATACTGGCTGGATTACTAAATATAAACATAACTTATTTACATGTTTTGTGTATTTTAATTAAAACTCTAATACTTACCCATGAGGATTATGTTCAGAATCCCGAACTAAGAACGTGCCTCTTGCATTCTCCTCTAGCATTAACAGCTTTTCAGCTTCTTTGCGGGAGATTTTCCCAAAGAACCAGCTGAAAACAAGAAAGAACCTGTTTATGAACAGTTTTAACTCTGGGGGTTTTTGATAGGTTTGTTTTTTACAGTGAATAAAAAATACAAAATGTTTTGTTACAACCAAAAATATATAATTACTTTCAAGAAAAAAGAAGTTGCACAGTGTTGTCTTCAAAGACATTAGGTCTACGTCCCTTACTATTTCTAAGAGTGCTAAGTTTCTAGGAACTTTTTGTTGTTTTACTAGGCCTACTCATCTAGAGTCGCAGTATGACCAAAATTACTATCCTTGTAGCTAAATGTTTCTTTTAAATAGAGTGTAACAGATATTTACGTATATTTGCAAACCTATTACCTTCCTGAGCTAGTATAAATTTCCAATCAGCCACTGTATGCTCGGACCTTTTCCGTTATATGAATATGACTGTATAATTGGTACATAACAAACAGTTGGAAGTTTTAATGCTGATCGTTTCTTCCTACTTTAGCCTGGAAGAACTTTCTGGTCCTATTAAAATTCCAGAGATAATGTAGAACCTTGGTAATACATTACTGAAAATATTATATTATTATTTTTATAACATTGTCTGAAGTGTTAGAGCTAGCAAGTGAAATAACGTTGGTCTTTCTCCTCCTATTAACAGCAACCGGCTGGAACATCCTGGACGAAAAAGTAATATGAGAAATAATAGGCTAGTATTTTTTAAAAACTGTATTGCTAAAAAGCTAAGGAACGTTTCTGATTATTATCGCAAAGTAACGGTATTTCCCATCTCTTCGTTATACTCACTCTTCACTCTCTACGGATTTCTCCTCGGCCACAAAGTTCCAAGGTATGAGACCCTCATCTCCAGTTTTGAGATGTCTAACTCTCCACCAATCCGGCTCACTACAACAAAACATTAACAGTTTTCAACTATCTTTACTGAAATCGACTAAAAATCAAAAGTAATTATCTAGTATTTCAATATACACAATGAGTCAATCATGCACACTGTTAGTCTATTACCCTACTCTGGATCTAAGTGGGAAAATTAAAAATTTTATCTATTACATTTTTTGGTTTTTTTGTGCATTTGTTTTTCATGTTTTACAATTATACAGTAAAATCGCTTTGAACCACACTCCATTAAACCAAAACCCAGGGAACAATAAAAATGTAAAATAAATTGAAAATTAACTACGTAATGGGAATTGATTGACGAAGCGTACGTGGTTGGCTATCACTTACAAGATAAAAATAAAATCCAGAAATCAATTAAATATAAATTATTTTAAGAAATATACAAGAGCTCGCCCCGTTGTCTCAAAGTCGACCAAAAGTATGTATTGTGAAACACTTCTCTATTTTTGCCCCACGCTGTAAATAAAACATGTGATTGGAATTTCTTCCAATTGTTTTGATCTTATGTTTATATTTTTTTTGTTATTTTGTCACCAACATGGCAACTCATAAGGACCATGTTAGTTTTTTAAAATTTTAAATTCATTGTTTGTGCTTGATTTGGAGTCTAAATTTATACAGGGATTCTGCACATCTACAGGAAAATATCTTTCATTTTTACCAACCGCGTGAAATTCGGTCCAGTAGTACGGTCAGGATAGCTGTCATAAGTTTTACAAAATGTTTTTTAGTATTTAAGATGTTATTGTATATATTGTTATGGATTTTTATTAACTAATATAGTTTGTAAACTTTATCCGCTGATTAACTGGAAAATAGGTTAAAGAAAATGGCCAAGCCCCCTTTATTATGTTTACTGTTTCGGTGTCCTTTTATTATTATTTTGCTACTTTTCAATTTTCACATTTATTATATTCAGTTTAAACCAAATAAATAACAGGGGGGGAATGTAGATTTTAAAACTGATCGTTGACTCTTATTATACAGTATCAATGGTACTATACGCAATAATAAGCATAAAGCCAAAAAAGAAGTTATTCAAAACACGGAACCAATAATTGACTTGTAATCCAAATATTGAGTGACACCTGTGATAGGAAGCCAGTAAATTCCTCGGTCTCAACTTGAAATTAAGTTTTTAAATATTCAACAGAAGTCTGAAGAATTAAAGCTGATTGACTGAGGGGAACTCTACGACTAATGAAAAACTGGAGTCAATAACTTGATAATGGTCTGTTAACAGCCATCTTTGATGGTGACAATAATTCTTAAACTGTCATAAACCAGTGAGTGACAAAACAATTAATACTCCTAACAAAGATGTCTTGACAACTTAAAACACAGACATTAAATTTTTATATCTTACACAATCAGGAATTAGTGAATTACTATGTGTAGATGTTAATTAAATAAATGTATTTTTGGGGGGATTACTAAAAAATTATGGAAACATTATTAATCCAATTTTTTAGAGTGGCAAACTTAAGTATGAAAATTACAGTACATTGAATTCATATGAATTCCCAGTTTTAATACAGTGTGCAAAAAAATAAATTATTTTTTTCTTTTATTTTTTTCATTTTCTGGATATGAAATAGATCTCATTTCCACAAAGGCAGTTCTTAAATATGTTATTACTGTATTTAAAGAGGATACCAACAGCTAAAGTCAAAGACAACAAACATGGTAGTAAAAACATAATAAAAATAGTTTAAACTTGATCAACACATTGATACACAATACTATTATAGTATTTAATAACATTGATTTGACCACTAAATCTACCTACAAACCTTCTTATTAATGTGATTTGTTAGAAAATAGATTTACTATAACCCTTTGATTCCATAAAATTATTTACCAAATTTAACTATACTTATTTTTATCATGTTTTTCCCATCTTGTAAAAAAGGGCAAATACATAAGCAGTAAAATGCCTGAATTTTAGGAATGAACATCACACAAAAATTATGTTCAGGCACTTTTCTTTTTATAAAACAAGGGACGACATGATAAAAATCGGTATAGTTAAACAATTATGTAAGGGGTTCCAATGATTCAAAGATTACAGAAAGACACTGATACAGTTGAACCATATACCATATATAGATCTTACCTATCGTCCAGTATCTCCATTCTGTCGCCTTTGATGAACGAAACATCGGCAGCTTCTCTAGACTGGTAGTTGTACACGGCCACCACGATACGACCTCTCGAACAACTTGGATGAACTACAACAATACAAGGTCTTATGTACCACATCAATACACTAGTGTCATTAAAGTTTTTTTTATTCTTTAATTTTAATATTTTGCTATTAAAACCTCAGCAGCCAGTCATGAATACTGATTCATACAACGATCTAAAGATAGTCAAAACTGAGAGTCTGACATTGCGATGAACAAGTCATCGGAGGGTAGAGGTTAATAGGTAGAATAAGTAAATTCTTGTTCTTTGATAGATTATTTGCCAAATAAACTTGGGAACCTGACTTTTTGCATTCAAATAAATGTTAAATATGCAGGAATCATTGAATTAGGAATATAGGGTTTGTTTTAACAATAATTAAGCATTATGAGAAACTAAATCCAATAGAGTATGTTTTCTGTATTAACTATTTAACATTGCTATTGCTTTATTTCATAATGGTGTCTAAACTGAGTAATTTGACAATACAATATTCAGGGATTACATACTAAGAGTTCTTATTGACAATTTTTAGCTTAACGGTTAATTTTTTTTTTGTAAACTTTTTTGGTGATCAAAAAACTTCCTGTACCCATAAGTAATTGAATATCAAGAGTGAACTATACTGTTATTGTATGAGAGATAAGCCAGTTAGTGAATGTTGTGATAAGATTAAGAATAGAACAGCTGTGTTTTGCTTATCAGTTCTTGTAAGTAATGAAAATTCTTGAGATATGTACTTATTTTGATAAAGTGGTTAATTATGATTACGGTATACAATTCTATTTTCTGAGTATCAATTTAACCTCAGAGACAAGTTCTCATTCGACAACAGTTTATAATTTTCCTCCTTTTCAACCAAGAATGAGCAACTGTAAACATAGTTTTTCTTCACATAATTTTAAAATTACCTTCCTATTTAATGTAATATTTTTTACTGTACACACATTTTAGCACAAAGATAACCACAGTTTGTATTTTAAAATTAAAACTACACTGTATGCATTTTGTCCTGTTGATGTGTGGGAAAAATAAAAAAAACCTGTTTCAACTCAATAGAAGGGTTTTAATCGTATTGGCATTCTTTTCCATTCAAGAATTTCATAAGTTAAAATCTCATTTTACAAGCTATTGTATGTTTAAATACATAAATATTTATGTCCATTGATTGTTCTATTTTTTTCCATTGATATGTTCAATTAGCTGGGTGTATTGAAACAAATCAACTTTTGTTTTATATTTAAAGTAAAGCTAATATATTCCTGTATCCCTTGGTTTTAGAATATTTATAATTATTTTTAGATAGAGTAGACTAATAATTCAATCCGGTATGTTTTTTCCTTCGTGATGGCATTATTAATGTTATTCTTAGGTTGTCGGTTACTCATCACTAAAATAAATTAATCACAATTTACTAAAAAATGTCGAGGTATATTTCAAGTTTACATCAAAACTCATCTTCAGCCTCTAGTAACAACATATCAAGTAAATAAACTATGATTTATAATGTTTGTTTATAAATGAATTAACATATGTTTGAATTATTTTAAAATTAAGTTAGTAGGAAAAAATTTTTATATGTATATATTATGTAGATGTCACAGTTAATTTATTATTGTTTTTCCAATTTTAATTTTGTTCTCAACCTCTTCTCGAATTAAAGTGCTACAACTTAGTGCTACAATCAGCCCTATGTTTATACCTTTAATTCGAGAAGAGGTTGAGAACAAAATTAAAATTGGAAAAACAATAATAAATAAACTGTGACATCTACATAATATATACATATACACATTTTTTCCTACTAACTTAATTTTAAAATAATTCAAACATATGTTAATTAATTTATAAACAAACATTATAAATCATAGTTTATTAACTTGATATGTTGTTACTAGAGGCTGAAGATGAGTTTTGATGTAAACTTGAAATATACCTCGACATTTTTTAGTAAATTGTGATTAATTTATTTTAGTGATGAGTAACCGACAACCTAAGAATAACATAGACTAATAATGTTGCACTATTTCATTTATCAACCTGTACATTTTATGAAATAAAGGTTATATTTATATTTTTTCCAAGAGGTGACCTCTTTTAACCTTGCATTGTCGTCTACATAGACTACTACAGATCTGTACATGAAACGTTACAGTGAGCAAAGCAAGGAGTGAGCAGCAAGGAGTGAGCCGGTACAGAACAAAGGTGAAGTGTACTGATAAAAAGTAGTAGTGGGTACCAGGAACCCAACCCACGACACCGCTGCCTTTGGCCTGAAGTCCGTGGCGCTACTGACAGCCACAAACACACCAATAATTTGATACATTTGATTGAATTAGTCCAGATGAATGAGAATTTACCGTATTGAGAACAAACACATTTAAGGTGGATTAAAACCTTTTTCCAGAATTAGATTGGTAACCTTTGTGTTAACAGTTCTTTAACCACAGTCCAACAATACAACAGACTAATAACTTACAGGGTGTGGTAGGTGTGCGGATGATGTCGTGACCCTGTCTCTTGACGGTGACTCCGCCAGCTCTGTTGGGGTCTGGGGTGTATCTGGGGTCTCCTGGACCCACCTGGCCTTCCAGACCTTCTCCCTTGTACCCATGGTGGTACACTGCAACACACCATACAAATGTCACATACTCTAATACATTTTCCAACCTAAACAACATAGTCTTGTTGAGATATAGGCCTAATAACATGTAATCTTATAGATTGATCATTCTAAGAGATCAGCTCAAGAAATTTTTTGGTTTCTGTTTGGTTTACTTTTAGAGAATTGTATTGTGTTACTTTAAAAATTTTAATTAAGTATAGTAAAACCAGACAGCTTGGTAACTGTAATCTGGTTTTAGCAAAACCATATAAAAATTCAAATTGACCAGTAAACTAGCAAGACAAAAAATCTTCTGATGTGGCACAACAAGTAGTCAACCAGAATCGGAATGAAATAGAGCGCGATGAATTATTTTAAGTATTATATAAATATCGTGTATGGATCAAATTTTAAAAACAAAATGTTGATTTTTTAAAGATGTAAGATTGATAGAAATTACAACAATGTACAAAACAAAGTTGTCTTAAAATTCCAAATGTTAATTAAACAAAAATATCTGAATATGCCTGGCACTTATTTTCAGTTAATTGAGGTTTTACTGTATAACCTTTTTAGGTTAAGAATGTAACAAAGAGGGCCTAAGTTTTAAGGATTTCACGAGGATAGAAGTCTTGCTATAGTGGGGAAGAGTACAACACTCTAGAACCAGGAACACAATAATTTACACTACACACAACAATCAGAATATTTCACTGTCACTTATAGACCTTTTCACCAAGGAAGGTTTTTTTCAGGCCCAATGATGACCACTCTAAACTTGCCACAAAAAAGAATTAAGTGTAATTTTATAGATTTTCAACTTTGAACAATTAGTTTGTTTCTCACCCCATCATTAATTTATAAAATCCTGTACAAGCCTGACTTAATTAAATACACCAGATCATTATGTAATATTTTGGTGATGTAGATTTTAATCAGTAATAAAATCGTACAATCGCTTATTTAAATAGTCAATTAAACACAATCAAAAAGAAACATCAATCCTGACACCTTGAGTACATCCTCATCCACAAGGCTCTCCACAAGGCCTTCCCATATGAAACCACAGAATAAAAAGTAGCCACTCTTTATTCTGTAATCATACCAGAAGGAAGTCGAGTGCCAGAATAAAATTTGTAAAACTGATCATCATTTTCTTCTAAGATCCAAGAAACAATTTTACTTCTTGGATCCGTTCCATGCAAAGGTTTAAAGTATCAAACATTTATGAATTATACATGTATTTTTTAAAGTTATTTGATTTTTCCTAATTAATCAGTGGGGTGATACTAAGTATCTACTGATTATCTAATCTGAGTATCTAATGATTAATAAGTCTTATTAATCAGCATACTATCTATGCTGGTAGTAAAAATCATTTGACTGTGCCACACCAAAATTTTTTTTAATTATTCTGTTACCTCAATCACAGAACATAATCATAGTCATTTATATGTTTACAATCCTTGAGGATCACATTAATACAATTTAAGACATGTTTCTCCAATACTTCTAAAGTGTTCCTACTCAAATAAGAGATAAACATGTAATCTACAATGACACACTTGGGCTTATCAGACATTAAACACACATCAACACAAGCTTCAGATTTTATAATACAATGTTAAGTCTACTTGACATATCATAGCCATGCCGAGAATATAGTATACACAATTATATGAAGCTTATAATTTGTCAATATTGATCTAGTTGTAAAAACTATGGAAATATTCTATTAGTCCCGGAGCCCAACTCTGAACATTAAGAGCCAATAAATCAAATATTCAAAGGAATATTCAAATATTCAAAGCTCTGAATCATTTTTCTATTTATTAACAGTATTCATTTATTCTTCCTTGAACAAGAGATAGACCTAATGGGATGTATTCAAATCCCTTAACCCACCCCTTATCAAGAAGGGCATGGTAGAAATATTCAAAGCCCAGAACCCTTACCTGCCTGAATCCTTGCTCAATCAAGAAAAGGACTAATAAGAAATATTCAAATCCCTAAGCCCATCCCTGATCAAGAAGAGCTTCTGTGGCCAAGAGGAAATAAAAAAGGTGGGGATTTTTTTTAGTCCTTTATGTCAAAACAGTTCTAGACTCACCGAGTGGACGGTCCGGGCCGTGCCGGCTACAGCACATGCCCATGTTGCCTTCTCAGTCAGGTAATCTCCATCCGTCTGAAAGAAAACATACGGAACATGAAGAGAATACATCATATACCTTTTCTAACTATTGTTGAAGAACTCATTACTTTGCGTCGTCGTCGTCAGTTGTAATTCACTGTCAGCCATTCCACCATTGCTATGAAATGCCATCCTTGGTGGATAGGGTGAGCCTCCACTAAACCGGTGTCTTATAATTCAGAGTACTCTGGCAGTATTTAATCAGTGGTAGAACTGATGTAAGGAAAAATACCTGCCTGCATTGTAAATAAGTTATTGCAATAATACACTCAATTACACTAAAATCCTAATTAGGAAAAGTAAACGCTTTCTTAAGACTCTACTAGTAAGCCTTGAACCCATCCAAGAGAGAGATGAGAGTGTGTGAGGGTGATGAGAGTACAAAAAGAGTGTGATGAGAAATATTCAGAGCCATACACCCATCCTTAACCGAGAAAGATCTGATGGAAAATATTCAAAGCCCTAAACCACTCCTTAACTGAAAATGATCTGATGTGAACTATTCGGAGCCCTGAACCCTGTAACCTAACCACTGAGGATGGCACTTTACAAAAAGGGCAAACAATTGACTTAGCAAGGAGGACAAAGTTTAAAAAGAAAAGGTTGATGGATTCTAACACCAACTTGGAAAATCCAGTATAAGGGTAAATGGCTAAATCAATGTTTGAAGGATTAAAAACATTTTGTTTTATTAATTACTTGAGAATAAGATTGACATTACGTACTTGGATTTGTATTGGATTCTAAGGCTAGTTACATTCATAATTAAGTTTCATATTTGAGATGAATAAACACTTCTATGGCATAACACAAGGGAAAATATTCTTACCCAATTCAAAAGCTGAAATTGGATAAATATTTTTCTGATGAAACTATTAAATAACAACCCAACCCTGTTTCTTATATCCAGGCCAACATAATGTATGCAGCAAACATATTACATTGTTTAAACATGTATTTTCAAGTGATCCTGTTGTATAAGATTATAGTTCCAAGAAATATTGCATTATACTTCATACTTTGTAGTTTATTGGATTATTGCAGAAATATTAAACTTATGAATAAATTATGACCTACTAAAATGTCTGTGATAGGATTAGGTTCTAGAATCAGAGACCTCCGCATTACTAATTCAAAGAATATAAATACACTACCATCCACAATCAATCATTAAAATTGTGTCCCAACAAAGTTTTGTCATAATTGATAATAGTTTTGCTCTCAATTGCTTTCAACAACTGACACAAATAAGTTGTGTCATAAATTTGGTTATTGATTTTACTCTAATCAATAACTTATGATTTTCAACACACAGAGAAGTAGAACAGAATTATTGAGCAAGTGGGTTGTGTCATATTACAGGAGGGATGATTGCTATATCGTTGTTACTGTTGAAAGGTGGATTAACTCTTCATTTCTGATGGACAATTGTTTCAACTGGTTTAGATTCTCTTTTGGGCATGTTTGTGAAACTTAGTCAATATTTTCTGTCCTCTGTATTCGTTAAAATTTTGTGAATTATTTTGTGTTTTGACATGAGTTTAATTTTAAAACATTTTAAACAAAAAAAGTTTAAATAACTGGTTTATAAAATCAAAATGCTATCCTTGGTTCATTTTTTATAATTTTAAATTTGTTCATTATAAAAGTGTTTTTGTGTCAAAGGTTCGCACTAACCTCAAACAAGGTCATATTTCAGATCCTAAATCATTGTTAATCTTGTGTTTGGATAATAAACCGTGGAAAATGTTGTTCAATGATCTTTAAAAATACTGTAAATTACCATAAACAACAATGACTAAACTGAAAAAAGGAATTAGCATCACCAACAACAATTGTTAGACCAAAACTGCACAATTTACCATCACCATCACAGAGTTAACCAAAACAACAATTACTACCATCACTGACAATAAAACTAATTGACACATACAAAATACCTAATCTGTAAAAAAATATATAATCTCAAAAATTACTAGAAAAATATAAATAATTTGACAAACTGTAGCCTATATAAAAAAATCAGTTTTTAACAAACTATAAAAGTTTTGATAGGATTCGGTGTTTTCTCGACTTGATTTAGTTACGTTGAACTGAGAATTTTGTACTGAAGACTGGACATTATACTCAAGTTAGACTGGAACTGTGAAAGGCCTCTCTGTAAACCTCTTACATAGAGTAATTAACAGCTTACTGTCACAGAGGAAGCAAAGTCCTCAAAGAGGTTAATTAATTTAATGGAAACCAAGTTATATATGTCTAAAACCAAAACTTATCAAAATGTGTTGACTTCCACATGAACAAATATTTTTAAAAGTTGGTTGCTGTTATTCTACATTTTTCTTTCATCTCATAAATTGAAAAACAAAATAAAATATGTTAGTTAGCGGAAAAGAAACATCACGTGTCTTTGTATCAAAACTTATCAAAGTTTTAAATAATGTTTAATATTTCTTATTTAAATACGTTCTTTAACATTGCGTGTAAGAAGACATTGTAAGAGAAGAAGAAATGTACAACAAATCTAATTTAATAGAGACAAAAAAATATAGGGTAAATATAGGGAAAGTGCAAAAGTCAAAATTCAATCAATAAAGCAACCAAATGGCAAATACCCCCTGCTGCAAATATAGTTGCTGCTGACTAAGGGGATTTTCATTTGTCTGATTTGATTTTTACTCAAATATTTACTTAAACTTGTCATACTTAATCTCTATTTAAATAACATTATATTTAATGAGTACCTAGGTTTGCTGCTACAGGGAAGGAAAATATTTTTTTATAAATATTAATACTAAAGCATAGATGAACTATTAGTTAATATTGATCAAAATATAACCATAAACATTAGACAAAAACGCTTCTTCAATTCATCTGAGAATCAGTATCTAGTTTGGAATTGCAATGGCGCAAATCACTTTTCCAAAAATATCCATTGGAGGCCTGTCCAAATAAGAGTAGGGTTGGGGAAAGAAGGGGGTTGTAAATTTGGAAACCCAAACTGCGCGGCAAGGGGCAAAGGTGACATGTCTGTTGTCAAGACTAATTGGGAAACCTTTGAACATCGCGGGGGAAATAGACTTTACAATTAACTCAACGAACTAATTTGTCACAAACGCCTTAAAATATCAAACACTTTCGGAACTTTCCCATATGTTTTGCCGGTACATTTACTTCACTTTGCCCGGAAAGCTACGAACGTACGAAGCGGGAAAGTATCTGTATTTTAAAACCGAGAGTTTTTATTAGATGAGAATATTTAAAACAAAAATGCGTAAAAATATGTGAAATAATGATTTTTTACCGAACTTTCACTAAAAAATTAACGTTAAACAAGTGTCGAGTACCTACAGCAAGCAAAACAAATAGACTCAATTTCACATTTAAGGATCTTTAAAAAATATCTTTGGTACGTAAAACGGTTTCAGGAGTAAACATTTTGACCTGAAGGCAAATAGAGTTGTCATTTCAAGAATCGCAATAAAATCGACTATCGCAATTATATATCGATGCTCGTATCAATGTTCAATGATTTAATCACATTTCAAAATAATTAAAATCAATCATTAATAATCAAGACTATACTTAGTTCGTCACAACTACATATCAATCACTGCTTTTGTCTGAATATTGATAATTACAATAATACTTGCATTACCAATTGTGTAAATCAAAGAACGATCGTACCTATATATTGATGTTAATCATTTTGACATATAAATAATCGCAATTATTTACCATTCGTCACAAACATATATCGATGATCGCAATCACACACTGATTACAATCACAAATCAATAACAGCCAATTTCGTGATCATAGTATATCAGAAGATACCAAAAACATATATCGATGATCGCAATCACACACTGATTACAATCACAAATCAATAACAGCCAATTTCGTGATCATAATATATCAGAAGATACCAAAAACATATATCGATGATCGCAATCACACACTGATTACAATCACAAATCAATAACAGCCAATTTCGTGATCATAATATATCAGAAGATACCAAAAACATATATCGATGATCGCAATCACACACTGATTACAATCACAAATCAATAACAGCCAATTTCGTGATCATAATATATCAGAAGATACCAAAAACATATATCGATGATCGCAATCACACACTGATTACAATCACAAATCAATAACAGCCAATTTCGTGATCATAATATATCAGAAGATACCAAAAACATATATCGATGATCGCAATCACACACTGATTACAATCACAAATCAATAACAGCCAATTTCGTGATCATAATATATCAGAAGATACCAAAAACATATATCGATGATCGCAATCACACACTGATTACAATCACAAATCAATAACAGCCAATTTCGTGATCATAATATATCAGAAGATACCAAAAACATATATCGATGATCGCAATCACACACTGATTACAATCACAAATCAATAACAGCCAATTTCGTGATCATAATATATCAGAAGATACCAAAAACTTATATCGATGGCCGCAATCACTTATTTATCACATTAATCCATCATCCAAAAATAATCGCAATCATATATCGATAATCGCAATAATAAACCGATTGCAGTCGTACTTTCGTTTTGCAACAATCTCAACACAGATCTGCAGATGTATTTTGGTAGTTCGCCAAAGGTCGCAAACAAGATGGTTGGATTGGTGGATTGATGGTCCCAAAACTGGATTGTCCTTTTACGGGACCGACTCTGTTTCGGAGCTTTGTACAAAGTGAATAATGAACAAGGGAAATCGTTTATTCGGCTGATAACTTGGAGAGGTCATATCTCGAATGGATACAGCGATTGGCGCACTCTGATAAATCCTTGATAAAATATAGTTTTGCGCATTAAATTCATCTACTAATTATTAAACATGAAATATGGAACTCCACAAGAATATTTCCTCCACAATCCTTCAAACAACACAAACTTGCGATCGCAAACAATGAACTTTTAGCAAAGAAGTAAAAATGGTATT